CTAATTAACTTAATTAATTACTAATCATAATTAATATGTTTTTTTTTTAACCTTTTTTTTTTTTTTTTTTTTTAAACTAGACCGGGTTGGATTGAACCCGTTCCAGAACACAACCCAAAAACACAATCCTTCAAATAGATAAACACAAAACAAATCAAATCTTGAACAAAAACCGAAATCCAAATGACATGAAGAGAAATTTAGAGTTCATCATTTTACTTCTCATTTTCAACAAGAAACACATAAAATAAACAGAACAATCTTTGATTCCCATTCATTTTCCAACAACTAAATACAAGCTTAAACACAGATCTAAACAAAATCAACAGAAAATAACAGAAATATCCAAGGTGAAATTTTTAGGAAGAGGTAGATCCAGACCGGAAAGGAGGGACCCCACCCACGAGATCAGGCTCTGTTCGTCTCCTTCACTACCTTTTCCCAAAATCCCTCTGTTTTAGAAAATACCTTCAGCGATGAAACCCAGAAAATGAAGCTCCTCTAGAAGCTCGATGATCCTTCCTCTCAACCATCGTTGTTGCCCCTTTTCTTATCCACTAAATCCCCTTCTACTACTCTCAAAACTCAAACAAGACTCCCCAAAACCAGATCCAGAAATCAACCAAAGAACCCCCCTAAATCAAACTCCAAAAACTCTCCAACCACCGACCCCCCCTCTACTCTGCTTTTGCTCTATATATACACCCAAAATGATAAAAATAAAAATAAAAATGAAATAAAAAAAGGGCTTGTTCTGTCAATCACCAATGATACCAATTTTGTCTGGTATTGGTTGTTTTTTTCTATATGGTTGTAGCATGCAGAAGGCAGGGGCATGGGATTGGGGCATAGAGCAAGGTTAGTGTAGGAAGCAAGACCAGGTAGCAAGGGTGTCAGGCCCTAGAACCCAAATCCGAGGATGTGGCAGACGGCGTGCACTTGTGAATGGGTCCCACGAATGCACAAGGCTTGGAACTTTATCATACCACAATCTCATACCACAAAATCTGAAGATAAAATTTTAAAATTTGCCATGATATCATAAAATCTCCAAATAAAGTCTAGCTTACAAAATCATGATTTATATCTAAAATCTATGTTCAATTAACAAGATGGCTAGCCTTCTAACTCGTCACTCCCCTCGTTTTTCCCCGTCCTTGACTTCGCTTTCTAAAATGGTGGACAAGGAAAAACTATGAGATAACTCAGTAAGTAAATATGGATAGCCTTTAATTAAACTTATAGCATGCCAATCGGTATAATCACGAAAAACAAGTACGAGTACGGAAACGAAATAGACGTCTCCTCTATAGGTCATGGCCAGTGTTATAAACCTCCCACTGGTAGGCACACGATTTACTAGTGTATAATCCCACTAGCAGGATAACAGTATAACAAAAATGAACTGGTTCTATCAACAACATGTCGACATGTGCTAGCGTTTATAAACCTCCCACTAGTGGGAACACGAATAACATGACCATATCAGAGACAAAACAGGTAGAAGTTAACAAGAAAATCATAATTTACAAATAATTTCCAAATCATCAGGGCAGTTAAGTAAACTCCAAGAAGGCATGCTCAAATCAATAAAAGAATAATAATTTCATTTCAGATCGATCATACTTGTGTAAAACGGGTTTAGTTCCGCCACCACTTCAAAAACAAGCTAAAATGTGCTTTAAAATCGAAGGGTGTTACCATAATTTACTTACCTCAATCGCATAAACCGAGGACTCAAACCCAGTGCTCTAAGCCATACTCAATCGCATAAACCGAGGACTCAAACCCAGTGCTCTAAGCCATACTCAATCGCATAAACCAAGGACTCAAACCCAGTGCTCTAAGCCATAACAACACCTACTATTCCAAATAAATACATTTAGACTTTGCTAGAATTATTAGCACAATCTTGCAAATTTACTAGCTAATGAGCTTCACACGAAATTCAACCATATGACCAAACATCTCAATTTTATTCTCAATATAACTACACATTTAAACCCTCCTATTGTTGGCCATTAGTGCGTGAACAGTAATCATGCAATGAACAGTAACTGCAACTTCCAAAAATGGGCAAACAATGGCTAATTCACGGGATTTTTCTCTAAAATCTCACAGCAGTCAATTAACACTCAATCACATAAATTCCACTTGAATTAATGCTTAAATTTTGTCCTAAAGCTACTGGAATTCATCCCTTTTTTTGTAGAATTTCGAACATCACAAAGGCAGCATATTAATGGACCAAATTCAGCAACTAACGGTAATTTGAACTTAGATTACGCTGTCACTTACCAGAATTCAGCAAACAAGGCCAGAGCTGGCGAGTTTAGGGGAAGGCTGGCGGAAGTGCGGGGAAAATCTATCGAAAATTGGAGAAACTAAGAGAAATTAGAGTAAACCAAGCCAAATCAAGGAAGAACAAAGAAATTGGTGGCTGTTTCTTACCCAAAAATCAGAGAAATTCGCACCCACAAACAAGAGCAGCTGACGAAAGGACAGAGCAGAGCAGATCCAAAAAATTTGCAAAGGGGGAGAGATTTCTGGGTTCTATATGTGTTCTAGAACAAGAAAGGAAGGGAAAAATATCAAGCTTTGTCACCAATTTTCTCAAAGAAATGAGTCGGTGGTTGGAGGGGCTTGGGGGGCTGTCGGGGATAAAGAACAAGAGCAGAATCGTGCTGAAGAAGAAAGAGGAAAAGGAGAAAAAAAAATAGCTGATCCTTATCCAAAATTTTACTCTTTTAAGTCCCTCCAATTTGGATATTTTAGCTAATAAGCCCCAAAATAATATTTTCTCACACAAAGGTCCTCAACTTAAATGCTTGAATTTCAAAAAATTTGGGATCTTATAAAGGGTGGGGGATCTGGTGCAGTAGAGGAGCGTAGAGGGGGCATGATGGCTCGGGCATGTAGGGGCATGATTGCCAGTGATGGCTGGAGTAGAGTGCAGGCGATTCGGGCGCAGAAAGGTAGGGGATTTGGTGCAGAAGGCACGGGATCAGGTGTAGAGCAAGGCTGGGCACAAGAGCCAGGGCGCAGGCCGCGGGGCACAAGGCGGGCGCTGGGCGCAGGGCGCT